TGTGCAGGAAGCCAGATTAACACTGAGTGGAAAACATACTCAGGGACTTCCAGGTCTCATCTCCTTCCATGGCGACATCTTGTCTACTTTCTTTCATGCTGTCTGCCAGTGGGGACAGCCGCTCCCAATGAGGATTTGCTCTCACTGGAAAAGTAAAAGTTCTTGCCTCTTCCTATGAAAGGATACAAACTCACACATACATAGTTGTAAATATATGCATGCAAAATATATAGAGCAGCAGTCCTCCAACTTGAGCCTGCATCAGAATCACCTGGAGAGCCTGTGAAAACACAGATGGCTGGGCACCACCTTCAGAATTTTTGACTCAATAGGTCTGGGGTGGGCCCAAGGATTTGCATTTGCAACAAGTTTCCAGGTAATGTTGATGCTGCCAGTCCAGTCTGGGTACCACATTTTGAGAATCACTGATAGAGACACTTGGTCTCTATCAAAGCCATCGACTGCAGTCAAGTACTGCGCTCGGACCTGAAAAGCCTGGAATCAAGCCCAGGAGGCAGAGGCTGCAGTGAGCTATGATTGCGCCACTGCACTCTAGCCTGGGCAACAAAGTGAGCCCGTCTCTAAAAAAAAAATACATAAGATTTGGCTGCATGCAATGGCTCACACCTATAATCCCAGCACTTAGGGAGGCCAAGTTGGGAGGATCACTTGAGCCCAGAAGTTTGAGACCAGCCTGGGCAATATAGTGAGACCCCTTCACTAAAAAAGAAAAAAAGACTAGAGTTGTTTCTCCCATGTATATGTGTACATTGTCTTGTGGCCCTCACAACTGTAGCTGCCATTGCACAGACTGATGACAGCTCTGTCTCTTAGATTCAAGAGGTGCTGAGTATCTTTCTTCAGTGTTCTTTCTCCTCCCCCTCACCATGCCTTGAATCCACCCTCACACACACACACACACACACACACACACATCCCATGCACACACTCAGCCTTCCATATGATTATAGCCTACTTGGCTCTTCCCAGCCATCCACAGCTATACCATGTGGTTAGAAGAACAATATCAAATCACAAAGCCAGCTGCACACATTTGCGCATGTCCACTAGGCTGAGCAGGAGAACTTTAAAACGACCTCTTCTCAAATAAATCAGGTGATGGGGTTAAAAAGGCAACAAAACAAAAAAAATAAGACCTTCTCCCTTCAACTCTAGAGTGGTTTATTTTAGCTCCTGGTGATAACAGTCAAACACTATATTCTTACTGCCATAATGCATCATACACTGAATCCTGTGAATACTAGCTAGTGTGCAAAGGTTAGCGGAAATCTTTGGGGCTGGAAAAATACGGAAGAGATAGATAAATTTGATTCAAAAGTATTATCACTACAGTTTGCTAAAGAGGCAGCTGAAACCTACCATTCCTGTCTCCTAAATTTGTAGCAGGCAGAACACACACACACACACACACACACACACAGAGACACACACACATACCTATGTTTATGTCTATGTGTACGTACACATGTATAGATAGACTGATTGATCTACAGCT